TTGCACAATCTACCCTGCCCAGCTTTGTGATCCAGAGAAACGACAACAAAACAAGCAAACAAACAAACAAACCAAAAGCAAAACAAAATTTGATTTTAATCTAGCATTTTTTGATTTGCAATTGCACAATTAACAATTTCTAATGAATTGCATAATTAAATATCTCGTATTGAATCGATATACGAGACAAACTTCAAATATTTATGTATTTATGGTGTACAAAAATCAAAATTATTTGCTAGTTAAGCATTTATTTATTCAAAAATGAAACTTCAAAAATTGTTCAACTTTTCGCTTCTCAAATTCAAATTTATATAGATATATATTGTAACTATATATCTATATCTATATGATGTCTAATCTGTGTAGAATTGAAGCAAAAGTCTTTGGTGATTAAACATATATATATTCTTGGACAGCAATAATGTCCATGTCCAGACCAAAAGAGCAAACTTACTTCAAATTTGAAATATTAGTTCTCAGGATACAATTGTACAAATATAAACTGTCTATATATATTCATATATTCATTCCTGTCTGTCTGTCTGCGAATCCCAATGAAACTTAAACTGTATCTTCAACTTGTTGTTGTTGGAACTGGCTGGCGAATGAATTAAAGTCGTTTTGGCTTAACAAGATGTCTTCATCCAATATACCTCTTAAATATAGTTAATCATTATAATCACGTCTAATTGTTCTTCTGCATAAAATGAAGACTTCAACTTACTTGAGTTATTTTGCTGCACAATGAAATCAAATTGGCCACAAGCTGTAAACAGACAGTTGCCAGCAACTGTTGCAAGTTATATATATGCACACATCTGTATATATGTATATATAAGTAGTAATTGAAGCCATCAGCTGTTTGGTATTGCATTCCCGAGCTGTTTACAGCTTTCGTTTCTAGACAGCTGGCCAGCACTGTGCTCGTGCCTATCACCAAGTGTCGCTTACACATATGTCTGTCTAAATATATACAGACATATAAATATATATATATATATATATATATATATATATATATAGCTGCTTATAGCTTATTTGAAACGTTTTTAATTAGTGTCTAAGCTTAAGCGCAGCAACTTGCCCTGCTCTGCTCAAGTTAGGCTTAAAGCATGCCGATTTTAGCTGCTTTCAAGCACATTTCGAATATTCCAGCTGATCTCTGTCGTACATCAAGTCGTACATCTATTTATGTCTAGGCAGGTGTTGACTACACACTCGGGCAAGTTTATGTTTATTGGAAAGTTTATAAGTTGGGAAAATCGCGTATACAAAGGAGAGTGGGCGACAGAGAGGGGGAGGGGGAGGGGGAGGGGGAGGGGGAGGAAGACGATGACGATGACGACGTCGATAATAAATATAACAAAATCGTGGCATGCCCGAACACTTTTCTAGTTTTTGCGTTATCTTGGGCACATTAACCGTTTGCGTTTGGCATTGCACGCGTCGCTGTTGCTTTTCCAACAAATCGAACTCAATTTCTTATCAAGTTTTATTATATTTTCTTGGCGTTGTTTGTTTTTCTTGTTGTTGTTGTTGTTGTTTCGCTTTACCGGGGCACGAGCAAGCAACAGATAACAAATGAGTGGCAAAGGCAAACCGAGACGCAGTCTGACAACGGTGAGCAGCAAACGAAGCGCAGAACAAAGCACACGAAAAATGGGCAAAAAAAAAAAAAAAAAAAAAAAAATAGGAAAATAGGAAAACAGGAAAAGCAAAAGAAAATAGCAAAAATCAGCACAGAATAATACAAGACACAAATAAAAGCAGAAAGAAAAGTGCAAGAAAATCCGCAGCAGCAACACGAAAAGCTGCAATTAATTTACACAGTCGTTTCTTGAATTGTATCTCAATCAAAGAAACACCCACACAACACACAACTAACCCGTCTCTCTCTCTCTATCTCTCTCTCTATGTCTCTCTTTCTCTCTCTATGTCTCTCTCTCTCGTTGTTTGCTTATTGTTTGTCGCTGCTGCTGCTGCTGCAGTTGTTGATGGCAGCATTCGACTGTTTGTTTGGCATTAAATATTTATGAGTGTGTTGCGTGTCTTGTCTTGTTGTTATGTTGCAGATTGTGCCAGTGACTGATATCCTGCGTGCCAAGCAAATCCAGGAGGACAATGAGGTGCAGCAGACGCAACAGACGACGATACTGCAGCGCTACAAGAGCGTCTCCAGTGGCAATCTGACCGATCTGCCCGGCGAGGATGAAAAGAAGTCGATGAGTTATCGCATGCGCATAAAATGTAAGTATTACTCCCCCTCTCTCTCCCTCTCTCTCTCTCTCTATCTCTCTCTCTCTTTCTGTCTATATATACAGTGTCTTACAGTTCATTTCGGGCAGTGTCTAGCAAAAATTTTAATTGCCTGGCATTAACAAATTATCCAATATTTTTCAAAAATTCCAAAGACCGGTGGCAGGTACATATATTAACCACCATAATGAATATATGACCCCCATAAACTGGGGTTTCCCCGCCGGCTAGGCCGGGTTATGTAAAAAAGTACCTGAAATTATGGTTACACATTATTTCGGGCAGTGGCATTATGGACACCTGGGTGCCATAAAACCCGGATTTTTTACGTCAGGTTGATTATTTTCGGAATAAGTAGACCAATCCTTCGTAGTCAGTTTAGTTATATCCTGCATCTCGGGTGCCACCAGCCAACAAGGACTATGGGCAAACGGACTACCATTGAGCAACGGAATCTCATTCTGGAACACTTCAAGATCGGATATTCACATCGCCAAATATCTGAAATGGTAAATCTAAGCAAATCAACTGTATTCAACATCATTCGTCGCTTCGTCGACGAAAATCGGATAGAGGACAAGGTCACAAATGCACCAAACAAGATTTTCACCGAACAGGAGGAGCGGAGGATCATCAGGAAAATAAGGGAAAATCCCAAGCTATCGGCTCCAAAACTGACTCCACAGGTAGAGGATTAAATGGGGAAAAAGTGCAGTGTGGAATCTGTGCGCCGAGTTCTGCGCAACCATGACTTTAATGCCCAAGTACCACGGAATAAGCCCTTTATAAGCGCCAAAAATAAAGGGACTAGGATGACATTCGTCAAAACCCACTTGGACAAGGATTTGGAGTTCTGGAACAAATTCATATTTGAAGATGAGCCCAAATTCAACATTTTTGGCTCAGATGGACAAAATTATGTGTGGCGACAGTCCAATACTGAACTGAGTCCCAAAATCCTAAAGACAACAGTCAAGCACGACGGAGGAAGTGTCATGGTATGGCCATCTATCTCGGAAGCCGGCGTCGGAAATTTGGTGTTAATTGAAACAACAATGGACAAGAGTGTGTATTTCAATATATTAAAGGAAAATTTACTCCAAAGTCCCAAGAAGCTAGGAATCCAGCGTACTTTCCGGTTCTACCACGACAACGACCAGGACAAAAGGCAAGCATAAGTACGGATTAGTACAGTCTTGGCATATCTGGAACTGCCCCCACACGATAATTCCACAGGCCCAGTCTCCAGATTTAAACGTTATTTAAAATTTGTGGGCTCTGCTGGAAAATAACATCAGGAATCACAGATCCGATCTCAAAAATGCTCTGCTGGATGAGTGGAGCAAAATCAGTCCAGAAACGACCCGGAAGCTGGTATCTTCCGTGAATAATAGGTTAAGGGAAGTTATTAAGGCTAAAGGATATCATTCTAAGTATTAACATCCTTATTTAAGTTTTTATACGCCAAATATGTTACTTTTCTAAGACTGTCCGAAATAAAGTTTGACATGTATTTTGGACATGTTTTCAGTTTTTGACTAATTTTAGTTAATTAATTAATATTTTAATAAAAACTGAAGCTTCCTTTTCAAACGTGATATAACATAAAACAAATTGGCATTTAAACATTTTGCGTTTGTTTCTTTGTTTAAACTTTATAGCACTTTAAAATTTTTGCTTGACACTGCCCGAAATGAACTGTAAGCCACTGTATATGTACTTATACTTATTTACATATATAATTTGTTATCTGCGTAAGGTGTAAGCTGGTAGTCGACCTTCGCCTGTTTATCTGCCCATTCTCCCCATTTAATCCAGGTTGAGTGCGTCCATTTTCCTTTCCCAGTGTCTATTGACGCTGCTTGGCCACTTTCTAGCTGATCTGCTCAATATCAGCCATTTAATTGAGTGCTCTGAAGTGACTACTTTGTTGTTGACGACTGCCACTTGCCACTTAAGGCTTGTCTCGATTACAGCCTCGGTTTTATCACCTGCTCTCGTTCCTGCATCGATCAGTCTGTTTATGTATTATATATACATATATATTATGTATACTCCACAGCAGTGGTTCTAGAATCGAGCACTCCGTGGCCAACCTTGAGCCGTCTCATCTTGCAAAATCGTACAACTTTAAGAATTCAACATTCTACATTTGCATTCCAATTGAAATCAGCTTTGATTGATGGTTGTACCCCAATTAAGTGTGAGCCAATTCTCAATGCTTAAGTGAGTCAATCAGTCAATCAGTCAGTCAATCAGTCCGTCAGTCAGTCATTCAGTCAGTCAATCAGTCATTCAGTCAGTTAGTCAGTTATTCAGTTTGTGTGGGCATGATACAAATACTGCTTACGAATCGATAGAAGTATGTTAAGCGAAACAGCAAATTGGCTAATTAATGCGCTGAAGTCGACTTTCAAGCGGGTTGCAAGCAACATGCCCACATGCATGCCCCGATGCCCCAATGCCCAGAGACATGTGTGGCAGCCAGGGCGCCCCAATGTCTGCCAGCCAAGTTGCGGGTCTTGACCAAACTGTTGCTGCTGCTGCCGCTGCTGCTGCCGCTGCTAAGCAGCTTGGCCTTAAAAGGCTGCACAATCGCCCACATTGAAGCACACACACAACACACACACACACACACACACACACACACACACACACACACCACACACACTTTGATATCGAGTCAGCTATGAATGGAATTGGAATTTGAAAATGCGACTGCGAATGCGAATCATGGAATGCGAGGAGATTTCTCCCACTCTCTCTCTCTCACTCTCTGTCTCCCTCTCAGTCTCTATCTCTATCTCTATCTCCCTCTGTCTCCCTCTGTCTCTCCCTCTCTCGCGCTCAATAATAAGCTGTGCCTGTTTTAGTCAATGAAAGTCTCGCGCTGGGTTTCACTTGTTTGGGTTGGCTTTGTAGGGGAATTTTTGTATGTATGGCCAGAGATGATTCACTGCGGGGAATCTTGGAAGTTGGCAAATACTCTATTGTTGTTGTTGTTGCTGTTATTATTTTTGTTGGCATTGTTGTTGCTGTTGTTGTTGCTGTTGTTGCTGTTGCAGCTGCTTTGTTTTTGTAATGCAAACAAATCGCATTCCGCATGCAAAGCGTTCGCATGCCCAAATACAAATAAATACACATATCGAATGCAGGTGATAAGCAATATATATATATATATATATATATACATATATATGTAATATATATGTATGTATATATATATGTATAGTCGTTACTACAAATCAGAGTCGTCTTCAACGTTTTTGACAAGCGTCAGTTGAGTTTCAGATATCTAAACGAGTTGTTGCAGTACTCGTGGCATGGTCATATTTCTCTAGAGACTTAAATAGAGAGAGAGGGAGAGGGAGAGAAAGAGACAGAGAGCTAGAGATGTGAGCGAGAGAGAGAGAGAGAGCGAGCGAGAGAGAGAACGACGCTGCATATTCCATGGATAGACGCTTGGCAGAGTGTAGGCCACAGAAACAACTATTGTTCATCTCATATATATATATATATGTTTATATATACATATATATATAGAATAGTCTTGGACCCATGGAGTAAACCTGATGACAAGATCGGATCAGTCATCCAATTCCAAATCGATTGCGATTCCACATTTGGGCAGAACGTGTTGAAAGCTTGGCCATGGATTTCTCCAGAGAGAGAGAGAGAGAGAGAGCCCAAACTTGGTTGACTCTTTGGATAAATTATGCAATCAAATAATCTCAACAAATATGTTATTCAGCCAGAAGAAAAGCACAAAGAAAGCTTTACATACTTTCATAAATATATACATACATATACATATACATATATATATAATCATATACGTATATAAATACATATTTACATATGTACAATTTGCCCTAATTCCGATGAGATTTTCTTTCTTTTCCCTTACATGATATTGTCAACTTCAACGTTATTGTCCACATCAACGTCAACGTCAACATCGAATGATGACTGATGCGTTGCACGCTGCTCGCTGCACGTTGCACGCTGCAGTTGCAGTGAACAACAATGTATTTAGACTGTAAGTATACATATATATATGGCCAAGAGCTGTGAGCTAAAAGAGCAAACGTTAATTGCAGCAATCGATCGCCGAAGAGCGAAAAGAAGTCGCGCAATCGTCGCAGCCAGGTGAACAGCCTCTGCCTGGATGAGCAATCGAAGTATCCGCTGTTTGGTGCCCGTCTCAATGTGCTCGAGCTGAACATGTCGGATCATCCGTATGTGCCGCGTTTCGTTGTCGATGCCTGCGCCCAGATCGAGAAGCCCGATCACATCGAACAGGATGGCATCTATCGGGCCAGTGGCAACAAGCTGCACGTCGATGAGCTCAAGCGGAAGCTAACCCATCTCTACGAGCCGCGCTGGCTGCAAACGGACGACATCCACACGTTGACCAGCCTGCATAAACAATTCTTTCGTGAGCTGCCCGATCCGCTGATTACCCATGAGGCGTACGAGCGTCTGGGACGATCCCTCACCGATGATGCGGCCATCGAACGGATGCGTTTGGCCTTTGATGAGATGCCCGAACCGAATCGTTCCACGCTCCGCTTCCTCATCAAGCATTTGACCAAGTGAGTGTCCAAGCAGATGAAGCTTTTCCGTCTTGTCTATGCGAGACAAGACAAGTAGTTCAAGTAATCGCAAGACAACAAAAGATCTTAGTTTTATGACCAGTACCTAGTCCGACTTGAGCTTGCTTTCCCTTGTCAAAACTCAATGCAAAACTTCAGTTTTGTATATTATTTTCTAGTTTTATATATCTTTAATTTGCTCTCTCTACCAGCCACAAATTGGCAATTCGATTTATTTGACAGGCATTTACACACTTACACATTTACAAACTTAACAATTGTGTTGCATACGAGGTGTGTTCAAAAAGTATCGCGAATTTTGAATTTTCGCGGGTTACGTATATTCGAATTTCGATTTTTTTGTAGCGTTATGTTGGTACTCATGTCTCTCACTTATGCCGACAAGCTCGGCCATTTTGAATGTTCACTTAATTGTTGACAGCTGCTTTGCTTGCACGTGTTTTGGATCGTCTTCGATTTTTACCTATTCAAAAAAATGGATCAAAGAACCTGTATCAAATTTTGTGTGAAAAACGAAATGAAGTGCTTGACGAGATAAAGACGGGATCGAAGGAGGAGCTGAACAAGATAAAAAAAAAATGATTTTTTGAAGTGTTTCGAAGATTGGAAAAACCGTTGGCACAAGTGTATAATATCTCATGGGGATTACTTTGAAGGGGACAAAATAGATATTCATGAATAAATAAATAATAACTGAAAAAACACAAAATTCGCGATACTTTTTGAACACACCTCGTATGTTATTTGAGAACCGAGGTAGTAGTTAGTAATTAGCAGATTGCATGCACTACTTGAAGTCATTTTATATGTCATCTTCCAAAACAAATAAAAAATGTCAGACAACATGTAAAGCAGCTTACAAATCAAATGTTGACTTAAATTAAATAATTCGATGGGCAACAGTTATTCGAATCAGATTCGAGTTAGAAACGTCGTTAAACAATAGGCATCAATCAATAGTATTAAAGTCATTTTGTTAGTTCTATTTGCTGTGTGCAACAATCAAAATGTGTATGTATTCATTTCAATTCATTTTGCATTCACATTCACAGCGTTGCAGCTGCGAGCAGCTTAAACCGGATGCCAGCATCCAATTTGGCAATTGTTTGGGGTCCCTGTTTGCTGGCTGCGAACGACATCAATTTCGATATTGGGCGCATGAATATGCTCGCCAAGGTGCTAATTGAGAACTATGAGCTCATTTTTCGGCCCACAAATGAGCGACTTGTCTGCTAATCAACATACAACAAACAACCAACAAACAACAACAACAACAATAGCAAGTGCAACAACCACAACAACCACAAAGGGAAAACATCACACAAATTGTGCGTCGCCTTGGAATGGCGCTACTATTTAATATTTAAAACATTTCATACATACATTTATTATAATTATAATTACAATTAGAATTTGTTTTTTTTTTTTCTTCTTAACTGTCGTGTATGCTTTAAACCCGCTTCCTCTTCTTCTTTTTTTTTTTGTTGTGTGTGCTAATATTATTATTTATTTATTGTTAAAAAAGCAAAAAAAAAAAAAAAACAAACAAACAAACGAACAGAAAAACAAAATGTTTGGAATGTAAACATTTCCTGTAGTCGAATTCAGCAAACAAGCAAAAATACTTACCAAAAAGACAGTAGACTAAGCTAATGCTAAACATTATAAAGATATATATATATATTTATATATATGTACACACACACACACAGACACACACTAACATACCACAACTCACATATTGAATATATATGTTTTTTTTTTAGGTCTTACGATTTGACCAAAAAAAAAAAAACAGAAAAAAAAGAAAAGAAAATAATTAGAAGCATACTCTAGGCGTTATCTATGCATAATGTTGAATAGCGATATATCAAAATGTATGTCATAAATATCATGTGATAAGATTTTGACGCCTTAATGTCTTTTTTTTTTTGGGTATTTTTTTTTTTTTTTTTGATAATATAATAAGTTAAATGTGAACATTTACCATATACATATACAATAACAACAAACACTTTCATTTTGTATAGTCGTCTTGAGAAGAGCAGCAAATGCCAAAATAACAATAAAATAAATCTAAAAAAATAAAAACACAAAAAAGAGTTGCAGATGATTAATATGTTTGCTATCTCAATAAATCTTACAAGTATTTAAAAAAAATAAAATGGTTCCCTTTCATTATTTACAATGTACGATTGGGGGATGACTTTATGTTGCTACATCTTAGATATAGATCTAGATATAGATGTGAACTTTATTATAATAACACTTATAAACTTAATTTATATATCTATCTAGATATTTTGTATACTTCAAAAGTACACTCATACAAAAATCGGCCTGAATTTAATGGGATAACTCGGCTTATAACTTTCTAATAGCCAGTATTTTCTTTTCTTAATTCTAGGGTACATTTCTCTAATATCAGTTCAACTTCCAGAATTAGTTTGGGTTTTTTTTTAATACTTAAGTTGTCATTTGAAATTTCATTACTCTTTGCTGAGTTTTAGAAAGGATATTCTCTAAAAATAAACATTTGCATTTCTCTTTTTTCGAAATACTTTCTTTTATTAAGAAACAGATTTCTATAAAATAGAAAAAAGCTTTTCTATTTTAAGCACTTTTTTCATATATTTACAAATCATTTCTGAAAACCTGAACATTTTCCTGGTTTTTTTAAGGGGATTTTTAATAATGAATCTTAATTTGCATTTAGTGTAATTTATAGTTGAACATTCAGAAGAATTTCGAGTTTATAGCATGGGTATACCAGTTAGTAAGTTCAGCTTCCTTGGCTTGGTATTTATGGTCATGCATTGGAGCACGAGGTATCCATAGTCGCAGGGATCGGAGAAGGCATTCAGTCCATCGAATATTTGCTTGCAGTGACGCATCACGAGACGCTCGTAGGCGCTGGCATTGGGCCCGAGGCGGGCGAGATCCAGCTTGTTATCACTGCCAATGTAGTCCTTGATCAGGCACCTGGTGTAGCACTTGATATTCGTGGCAATGCTGCTAACGGGCTTATCGGGCGAGATGGCCTCCAGATCAACGTGCGTCACTTTGTGTACATGTAGACACTCATCGGATGCGTTGCATCCGGCGATCATCAGCTGCACATACATTTTTTGTTTCGAAAAAATGTGGAAAGTGTGAGCATTGTACAAGGATTTGCATTAGCTATGGACACTCACTGCCACGAGGAGCAACAGTTGCAGATGCATTTTGTTCAATTTTGAGAATCCGTTTGCAATATGAACTTGCACTCGCGATGCGTGCAACAATGGAAATGAGGCACGAGGGTGATTCCCCCTCTTATTTATGCAACGCAATATGCCATGGAAGTGTGCGTGTTGTCTGCTGTTCGTCGTACAATTGGGGTATACTCAGCTCCTACATATCCACAGAGAGCGAGAGAGAGAGAGAGAGAGAGAGAGAGAGAGAGAGAGAGAGAGAGAGAGAGAGAGAGAGAAAATAAAGAATATCATTTACTGAATTACATTTATTTGACTTATCATTTACTCGTTGAACATAACTAACTGATCAGAGTACAGGTCATAATCTAGTCAGTAATATTGCTTATGCTCTGCACACTATTCGAATTTGATTGCAATAATTAAGTAACCTATTTATACCCATTAAAAGTGCATCAAATTGGGTATACTTAAGCAGTTTAACATTCAGCGTGTAAGTTGAAAATTGAAGATTTTCACAAGTGAACAACAATTTGGAGAGGTTTACACGATTTGCATAATGGACTTCGATTGGAGACAGCTGGGTATGCTGGGTATGCGCTAGTCGTGCATATTTCGGGTATGGATCATTCGCACTTTTTGTTTTATTAAGAAAAAATGATGAAAATGGCATTTTTGGTCGATTGGCAATGCCCATTCAAATGCAAGTGGCAAGTGGCAAGCGGCAAGTGGCAAGCGGCAAGTGGCAAGTGGCAAGCGGCAAGTGGCAAATGGCAAATTGCTGGTCAAATAACAGCAGCTGCAGTAACACCAGCAACATCGGATGTGGCATGTCGAACTAATAATGCCCGCTGTGTAGTCCAAATAAAGGGCATACGCTTAGATAGACCTGAGAGAGTCTCTCTCTCTCTCTCTCTCTCTCTCTGTCTCTCTCTCTCTCTCACTCTGTCTCTCTTTTACTATGCTATCCCTCTCGGCAGTCGCACTTGCACTTGCATGATTTCCTGTGTTTGGGTGTGAATGGGTGTAGCCGCAGTGCCCCTCCCCCTCTCGCTCCGTCATTCCAGATTGTGGGTTTCTTGATTATGTGTTTAGGTTTTTGCGGCCATTGGGCAAAAATAGCCGCAAAATTCAATTTTCCAAGCAAATCACACGTGAACTTCTCTCAGTGAGTTTCGAGCAGAAGAAGGAAGCGTGCGGCAAGCTGTGGCAAGGCGGAAAGCCAATGTAATCAGCCGACCATTTGACATGGCCTGTCATCAGCGACATGTACAGCATGTTCTTGGCGATATATATATATTAATACATATATATATATATATATATTTAGGTCCTTGGCGACACTGCGGCTGGGCAAAACTTTTGCAGGCCAATCAGCCCAAGTAGCAGCCGCAGCAGCAGCAGCAGCAGCAGCAGCAGCAGCAACAACAGCAGAAAGCCAAAATCCAAAGACAACTGTCGAATATGGGCTGGTTTTAAGTACATCTAAGCAAAATTACAAATTATGCAGAGGAAGTTGGCAGTCAAGTGGACTGCAAGTCAAAGCACAAATTGCAAAATGGGCGTTGCGGCAATTGCCTCGCAAATTGAAGGGTTATTTGAGACAGTCCAAGTAGCAAATGTATCCCATTTGCGACAACGGCAACAACATTGTGTCCCAAATGCAATTATGAGCAGCCCAGCATAATAAGTGCAAGCAACCAAAGTCCATATTTAATTATCAATGCAAATGGAATAAACATTTGCAGTATGTAATCGAGTTGGGCAACGAAAAAGCGATCTTTATATGAAAGACTCTGAGTCTGAGTCGGAGTCGGAGTCTGAGTCGGAGTCGGAGTCTGAGTCGGAGTCTGGTCTGTCTGGTTGTCATGGCTGTTGCTTTGTGGTTGAAAATTGCTCAAATGAAATGCGAGTCATGGCAAGCAGTTGGCTTATAATTCAATTTTTGCTGCTGACGGCCAACCAACCACAGAAGAATTTTAGCACTTGTGCTTCGTTCGAGTTTGCCATGGCAATTGGCTTTGGATTTAAGTTTTGGGTTTTGAATTTGGACTTGTGTTCGGATTCTGCTTTCAAAATTGCCATGCGCTTCATTTGCTGTGTTCTTGCTGTGTGTGGGTGAGTGGTTGGCTCAATGCCTTCAGTCTTACACAGTCGTATACCCTGTAATCAGACGAATGCCATCATTCAACTGTCACATTTTCTGAGCAGATCCATGTGTTTTACCTTTGCCCTACAAATGACATTTTAAATATATTCAAGTGCATTTTTCAAAGCACATATCTTATTTTTAGTATCTATCCTGACAAAAGCAGTTATTGAAGTATAAATATAGTTGTATTTAGCAAAGGTTTGTATTACTTGAAATCAGGGTATCTGATATTAATTCAGCCTCTTATGTTTATAGCGCTATTAATCAGAGTACAGGGTATCTGATATTGATTCAGTCTCTGGACAGGAAATGTCTTGAGTTTCATTTTGGTTTTGCGATTTGTTTTTGACAACACTCAGAAATATAAATTTTGCAATTTTATTGCGGCCAAGCAGTTGACTGCAGAACAGTAACTTAAGCCGGTCTTAGGATGAGTGGAGCAGGCCGAGCATCAACATCAGCGTCAGCATCAGCATCAGCATCAGGAGCAGAACCAGGACCACAGTCAGGACGAGCTGCCTAACCACTGAAACGTGTCTTAACTTATGAAATATTGCAAGTGCCAGTTGCCAATTGCAGAGCGCAGAGACCAAAAGACTCCTTCTTCCAGCAGCTGCATGTTGTTTCATAGAATTTACCTTGTCACATAATATTGTCAATTATATTAACTATAATTTAATTAAAATTAACATTCAAAATAAAGTGTTGAGTGTTGTCTATGCAATTAATATATATTAAAATATACAAAATAATAAATAAAGTTGGATCGATTTATTTATGTTGGGTTTATTATTGAAAACATATGAAAACATAGACTTAGACTGCATCATAATTAATTATGTGTGCCTTGTTGTGCTTCATGTAAAACTCTGCTTCATCATAAATACATAATACATAATCCTTTTTGTTTGCTTTGCAGTTTCTATTATTTCAATACGCTCGAAATTGTATTAATTGAATTAATAACAAAAATAATTATTAACAAATTGTTGTAAGTGGAATGCTTCTATTGTTATTCATAAACCGCTAATCATATGCAATGCGATTTAGGGGTTTTTTTTTAAAGTTGGTTTACTAATTTGCCAAAATACAGTCAGAGTACAAAAATAACATAATAATTAACATAAAATATGTGTGAATTTAAATGGCTTAATGCCATGCATAAGTCAAACAGTCTAAGTCTAATGTTATTTTGTGTAATTAAATTATAAATTGTTGGTGATCATTTGGAAGATATTTTCATCACACATAGGCCTCGTTAAGATGAGTGGCCAACACAGATGTGGAGTGGGGCAGCAGCTGTAGCTGGAGTCGAGCAGCTGCACTTCTTGTTGGCCAAGTGGTTGCTGTTTTGGGCTTGAATTTGCCGGCGGCTCACTTGATGTTCCCAGAAGTGGCGCCACCTGTTGGCCAGAGGCGAGGACTGAGTAGCAGACGCCACAGTTGCGCTTTCATGACTCGCAGCAGCACTCGACATTAAGATGCCGCCAATGTGTAATAGCAGACTGAACTGTGTGTGTGTGGGTGTGTGTGTGTGTGTGTGTGGCCAAAGATGTAGAAGCTGTGAGTTTGGTTGACAGGTTGCTGAGTTAGCAGCAGCAGCCGCAGCAGCAGCCGCAGCGGCAGCAGTCAAGGATGTGACAGCGCTGAGCCCATTTGACACAAGCATAATATAATAAAAACCGCAAACAAGTAATGCCAACCAGCGTCTCTTGTACTCTCTGCTCCTGCCCAGCACCACTCCACATCCATTGAAGTGGATCACAGGCGTGTAGGCCTCAACATTCGGTATAAGGTCCAAGTTGAGGTCCGCACGGAAGGAAGCGGATAACCGAGCCGAGAAGTATGCCAAGTATGATGCTGAAGTGTCCTCGTCTGTCTCGCTTTGTTCGCTGCTCTTATCCTGGCCTGAGTGCTGAGTCCTGTGTGCGTCTGGGCGTTATCCTTTCGGCGTGATTAAGCCACAAGTGCGTGACATTTTAATGCGACATTTATGCCCAAGACAAGAGATTATTATTGAAAACGCGCACTTCGCCCTCATGACAACAACAGCAGCAACAGCAGCAACAGCAATAGCAACAACAACAACCACAATAATAATAATAATAATAACAATGATAATATTATCAGCAAGGATAACATGGTGAGTTGCTTAACACCAGTCTCGCAGCTTATTTATTTATTTTCCCATTTGACAACTAAGTGACACATTGTGTTTGACGCCCCACAAGATGGCAACCCAGCTGTTGGCTGGCATATTCTACCAGCAGCAGCAGCAACAGCAACAGCAGCAACAGCAGCAGCAGTCACAGGAACAACAATAGGATATGGCTATAATCAAGATGCGATGTTATTGATTCTGATTTATGCGTACTCTTCAAAGCCCAACAAATATGAAGAATAATTTGAGTAGAACATATAGAAATTTGTATGCAGTTAGTGAATTCAAAACAGTTTTTATTTAAATATAAAAATGTACAAATAATTCATTTACACAGATTAAAAAGAAAATTTGTATTGCAATTAAGCGATTTTATTTGTAGCAGAAGAACGCAATTCGAAAAATATTCAAGAAAAACAAAGTGAAGAACAATTCATTATTTAATATTTGAATACTAATCAAAAAATACTCAATTCAATTATTTTTTAAATTCAAAAAGGACAAAAGAGTTTCTAGCAAAGCACTTATTTATTGTGCCACATTTCTTGGACTGGCTACAAAAAAGCCAGCAACAATCAGGTGTCGAGACAACAATATATATGTAATATAGAATATGTA